AGCAGGAGTGAATTCCCTGGAAACACGCAGTCTAGGAGGACAATTGGGAAACAAGGCTTAGTTTATGCTTGCTTTCAAGACTGTAATTCAATAATGATAATGTGGAAATGCAAAAAAACCTCCTCGTATAGGCTGCATTACTACAAACTTCCGACCCTGAAAGCATGCAGAGAGGAAATAGGGCGATATTTAATACCGCTTGCAGTCTTGGTGCTTTAAGTTATCTCGACTCTTGCCTCATCTGCTGGTTGGAGGGGCTGGCTGGCTGCGTGAGAACTTGTAGCATTGCTGATCCTGGTAAAATAAATATTGCAGGCTTTGTTGAAGGTTGTAATTTGGGTTCCTAAATCTGTGTACCAAAGCCCTGGGGGGGGCTTTTTTGGGAAGCCCAGAGAACTCTTTAACTCTGCCTTGCTTTGGGCCTCTAAAACAGCTCAAATCCTGGAAGGAAAAGTATTTCAGCAGGCTGAATTAGTAAGGGATGGAGAATATTTCATAGCTTTAGTAGAAGAAGGCTTGCCCCAGACTTAAAAAACCCAACCAAGCAAAAGCCAAAACAAACCTAACAACAAAAAAAATTAAGGGTTGTTTGATATTAAGCCATAGAAGTTTAAAATAAGCTCTTCTGGGCTCAGGAATGGAAATGTCTGTCAATAATTTGTCTTGTCTGGTAGTAGTGCCAAGGTTCCCAGAGCTGTATACACTTGACTGAAAGTAACCCCAGAACTTAATCGCTTAAAGTGCAAATTCTAAGCCCAAATGCGGGATCTGCCTCTGCAAAAAGTACTTGGAAACTGCTAACACACAAGTGTCTCTTCTATTTTACTTTTTCCTTTTCAGAGCTGTAGGATGTCAGGTTAGAGTTCATGCTTGAGCGTTTTACTGTGGTGTTGAGCAACAAAGACTAGAAAGCTAGCATGATTTAGCAGGGCTTCAGAAAAGATACTAGTGCCAGTTTTTGCCTCCAGGGAGGAAGAGTCAAAATTTTTGCTTCAAATGCTAAGGAAATTGGGGCCCGAATCACAGAGGAGATGGCTCCAAGTGTTTAGGAAGCAGGAATTGCTAGCAGAAATCTGATCAGGTCAGAAGCTTTGTCTGGAGATGTTTCCCTGCTAGGTTTTTCCCCATCTCTGGTGGCTCTTGTGCCTCTTCAGGAGTGCTGGAAGGGCAATCTGTGTCTTGGGCAAGTTGCTCTCTGCAATGGCACTTGGTCAGCATAAATAAGGAGAAGCTGCTTGGCATGGCTTGAACTATTTAGTCACCATCCTGGTGTGTTTCTGAGGGAAATGGCCCAAATGACCATGGTCACAGTACAGGTAGAGCTCTGCTCAGGACAACGTGCTTTTTGAACACTCCTTCTCCTAAGGTTTTTGCAGTGCCTGTTAGTGGAGGTGGTCTCCAGAGCAGCCACCCAACAGAGAACTTGTGGTTTTGGGCCTTCATGAGTGATGAGAGCTTTCTTCTGCACAGTGTGTGCAACTTTGTCTTATGGTGGTTGGTCAAGAGACCAACCTGAAGTCGGGAGAGGCTGTTTCAATGTGTTCCCCCTTTGGCACAACAGCCTCCGTTCTTGCCACGATGCAATGTGCAGCTTTGCAAACAAGGCTAGTCAATGCTGTGCATCCTGACTGGAACAGTTCTGTTGGAGGTATCTCTGAAGTGTTGCTGTACCAGTGCTTCCACTCATTTGGTGTTGGTTTGTCTCAAGGAGTGATGCATTTATAACTGTTCACGGTGGCCAGTTGCCTTCCAATGTTTAATGTGCATATCTTCCCCAGTATTATTGGAGTGATAGTATTGCCCCTATTTCCTATAAATGACCAGAAGCAAGAGAATAAAACAGACCTAAGGCATAGAAAATTATTTACCCAAGGCATTGCCTGAAGCCTGTGGCAGAGCTGGAGCTGAATCTTTATGATTTGCAGGAATTTGTCAGTGCTGTCCTGCCACAGCAAGCAAATGGTGCTGTCACACACAGCTCAGTGCAGGATCAGTGTTGGTTGAGATGATGTGAGCAGGTAACAGTCTTCTTCTGAAGGCCTTTGATTCATTTCTGTTGTCCCTCAGCGCTGTGGCGCTCCTGATGCTCTTAACTTTCCTCATACCACCATGGGTTCCTCATCTGCCATACACCTTGATAAATCTCGTGTAGGTCATTTGGCCTCCTTGCTGCTGCAGCATCCATCCTAGGTTGCATTCTGCCTACCTGACAAGCTGAAATGAATGACTTTTGGGAGGTGGCTGCTGGTCATATGGTGACCCCATGAACACCAGCGTTACAGATGGTGGTGGATGTTTTAACCTGCTCTCATGCAGTGATAGTTTGAGACTGACTTGGCCACTTGCAGTGATATGGTCTCTTCTAGGTGAAGTTGTAAGGTAGCTGTGTCACCCTCTCCTCTCCTAGGAGCAGATGGCAACAGAGCCTCGGGGGTGGAAGCTGAAATCCTTCAGAGAATCCTCCCTCTCAGGGCTGCTGTGTAAGGAGTGATTGATGCAAAGTAAAACAGCGCTAATTGCAATGGATGTGTACTGACAACTTGATAGTTGCTGTGATAATTACAGTAATTAGTCAGATGTTAGCATTTTTTTCCCCTGTCTAGGCTATAAATGGAAAAGGTAGAGAAGGCTATGTGTGAGAGGAGAGGATCCATGACTCAGGCTCTGGGGTGGTCCTGTAGCTTGGGGAGGGGAATGTGCCAAGGTCTTGATGATGGAGACAACTTGGTGTCAGATTTGTAAAAGCAATCTGGAGCTTGATTCTTACTGAGCCTAAGGGGAGCTGGGGGTTTAAATGTATCTTGACAATCTGGTCTTCAACATCATGATTCAAGCCTGGCTGGCTTCCCGTTGGAAGGAAAATCCATATAACATCCCATTTCCTCACTCAATGTCACGCCGTTGAAGGACAAGACAGGACTGTCAGTCCTTGAGCAGTACTGGAGGTGCTAATTGTGCGTGTGGATTTCCAAGGACTGTGAAATGGGAACAATGCATTTGCAGTTTGATCGCCCAATTAACGAACTTCACAGCTGACAAATACAGAGACTGAATCAGTCTCTGTCTTCTGTCTTTATTATTTCTCCCTCCTCCGATCAGACATCGATTCAAAGCTTTGATTCCAAAACTTTCTCGAGAGTGGGAACTATAGAAACTTAAATGTCATAAAAAGTGATGGGTTGGGTGGCATTCCCCATGTCCCACTTCAGGCTCCCTGACTGGGAGCACTGGGGAGAGATGGCTCCCAGTTTGAGGAAAAACTGGGTTAAGTTGCCTTGAGATGCATACTGGTAGTTTTTCAAGCTGCTGAGCTCGGAGTCCATTTCTTACAAATAACTTTTCCCACATTTCTGCATAGTCCTTGAATTATTTAAACCTAAAGAGGATTTTACACGCTACCTTAAGCATTTTTGCCTTTAGGCAAATTGTGCTTTATCCTAGGCAAAAAACACTAAATATTTAAATTCTGCTTTGAATGTCAGAGTGTAAATAGTGCCCAGACATTCAGCTATGGTGATTCTGTTAGGATAAGACTTGAAAATGTGTGTTAATAATATAATGTAAATCTCCTTTTCTTCTATAGAGTGATCTGAATGGTCAAAGTGACTCCAGAATCATTGGTTTGGTGGCAGTGACTCCAACAAAGCTGCTTGTGAACTTCACAAACCCTAGGCCTTAGCTCTAAGGTATTGTGTACAGCTGTCTAATGCTCTGACCTCTTCTTAATACAGTACCTGAAGTTAAAGAATTTTGAGGAGGAAGTCAGAGCTCACAGAGACCTGGATGGGTTCTTGGCCAGAGCCAGCATCATCCTTGACGAAACGGCCACTTCCTTGGATGATGTTCTTCGGGAGATGCTGAAACACTTCGCTGAAGATCCCGAGAATACAGAACCAAGCTGCAACTTTGAAAAAATCATGAGCACTTTATTCACGGATTCAGGGACCCCACGAGAAGGGAATGGTAATCAACTCTTGATTTGCTTTTGCCTGCGGGTTACTGCTAAACTGTCATCGTTCCCATTGGTGGTGTGTTGAGCACATGCTACTGCATGGTCCCCAGCCTTGCATGGTGCTTGTGACACTGGGGGTTTTATTTTGGCTGAAGGGTTTCATGTCCCTGGGGTTTTTATGTTTTGGTGGAGTCTTGCCCCTGTTTCATTAAGATGAGACATAGTAGGGGGGGAGAAGTCTACAGCACTGGAGTGTCTTGTCTGTTTGGACCCATTAAATGTGGTTTTCCTCAGACAAGTGTCTGATGCTCTTCAGCAAAGAGACACTTGCTGGTATCCCTTCAGAAACAGCTCCTTTGCCTTGTGGTTCTCCATCTGAATTCACACAGGCTGGGGAACTTTGCTTTGGATGAGTAATTGGTTGGGGAGGGCTGAGCCTTCGCATTGCTCCCAGCCCATTGGAAGGGATGAGAGGCACTTTGTTTTTCTCCAGAAAATCAGCTGGGATGACCCTCGCCAATGTTTTTGGCTTATGTATCATCTTAAGCTATCAGCTAATGTCATAGCATAGTCTAAAACGCTACTTTTAGCCCAAGATGGAAAGAAGCTTAACTAAGCATTGTTTCTCTGTAGGCACCCCTGATGTTTCAGAGTCAACAGGAATGAATATACAAACATGTCCATCGCACCTCAAATGTAACTGTCACAGCCTGAGTGAATTTGTTTAACAGATATGTCGAGTCCTGAGCATGTAGTAAGCATGTTCATGCTTTGGTTACTTCTTGCTACCTGTCATAGAGCTTTGCATTTGTAATCTCTCTAATTTAGGCTTTGTGCCAATAAAGAGAATTTAAGCAGTGCCATAAAATACTCCGAGAACAGTAATTAGGAAGAGGGGGAGAGGGGACAGAGGAGTCAAAGATGACACCTCTTCCAATCCTATCTGTGTGTGTGCGTTGAATACTGCTAATCTAATAACCTAATCTTGCAGTCGGTTGATGTTGGGAGGAGAAAACAGCTGCCTTTTCATGCTGTGAATAGTCCAAGAACAAAATTGAAAAGCATCAGAACAAATGTTTCCATCTTTCTTTGTTGTCATCCCCTGTCCTTGCATCAATCTGCCGCGCAGATTAAATAAGTATGCTTGGTATTAGTACTCAGCTTCTATTTGAAAGGAAATGTTATTTGCAGTTGCCAACTGAATATGGACAGCCTTTAATGTTGCCCTCTCTTCTTCTTCTAGTTCACCTCTTATCAGATACAATTCAGGGGGTCACGGCGACAGTCACAGGGGTGCAGTATCAGCAGTCCTGGCTCTGTATCATGTAAGTACCTGGGTTAGGTTGGCAGAACCCATTGCTGCTCAAAACTTTGAGTATTTCCTGCTGCTGGGGAGATCAGCAGTTCACAATATGCCCTTGTAAATTGGGATGGCGATGCCCTCTCTTTCTATGCATGTGGGATTTCAGTCTCATCACTGGGCTCTTCCTCTTTCTCAATGGTCAAACAGCAGCCTGAGCAGAGATGACCACCATCTCTACATGGCATTGAGCTCTTGGATGCTATCAAAAACTGGTATTAACAAGCTAAGAATGCTGAAAAAATATTGTGCAGAAGTATCTTAATTCCCAGAGAAATGACTGGGATGTTTTGGATAGGTGCCTAAAGGCTTAGGGAGTGCATGCACATTTTAGGCTTCACAGCCAGTTTGCTGGGACAACTGTCACAACAGCCTGGCTTCTGCTGGCGCTGCTTCTCCTACACTCTGCTTATGGCTGGAAAAAATGTAGAGTATTCTGCCTTGGAAACAGATGACTTTAAAAACAAACACACAAAATAAGCCAACAAACAAAAAACCTACCTTTTGTTTCTAATCTCTTATGAAAGAGAAAAATGTGGTCTGTGTGTGAAAAGGTAACTATTTGCATATTGAGACTCTCTTCTATGAAATAAGGGAACTGGGAAATGTGTGTGCTGCATGTGCTACTGTCAGCTCTACTCTTATGGTTAAGAAAATAAGTTTATACAGGTCAGCCAAGAAGGCTTCTGAACAGTTTTCTCCCCTTTGGATGCCATAGGTAGGGTAGCAGCAGTAAGGATAGGTACATCCTAGTCTAGGAAGGGTAGAGGGTGGAAGTTTCTACTGTGGCATGTGACATGGCTCTGTGGAGAGCCTCGACTTCTTAATAACAAAGCCTTTCTAGAGGTCATGATACAAACACTGATTATATATGTGAAGCTGTAAAGGGTATGTTCAGCCTTTCCGTAGAAAGTGTGCCAAAGCTTTAAACACAACCATGTGAGTAATACTGGCTTCCATGACAAGACAGGATTTGAAAAATAAGCTTACAGCCTGAAGGTGTCTTGTGCAAAACTTGTTTCTTCCTTTTGTTACTCTGAAGAGGGAGAAGAAAGTGGTGGGAAAGCAGTGATGAGTTATTAACTATAATTATCTAATTATTGCCGTGTATTTCTACTGCAGCTATTGTGTAATAGATTGGGAACCATATTTTTAGATCTTACTTATTTTTTTTTCTCTTGAAGTCAGATTGCAAAACAACTTTCAAAACTCTGAAGTAAAAGGCATTTGTTGATGAAAATTTTCCCATGTGGAGTGGGAAGAACCTTTAAGATACCTCCTGTCCTTTACCCTTGCACTTCGTCTATGCTCTTTGATAAATTTTAAATTAGCACTACTGGTTTTTGTGTGCCTTAACTAACTTTTTTTATTCCTAGTGAATGGCCTTTAAGATGCCTCCTGTCCCTTACCCTTGCACTTCATCTATGCTCTTTGATAAATCTTAAATTAGCACTACTGGTTTTTGTGCACCTTAACTAACTTTTTTTATTCCTAGTGAATGAGAGAGGCTCGAGTGTAATGATAGGATTACATTGATGAGGAAGAGCAGCTTAGACATGGTTTTAGTAGTGCTGCTTCTGCATTGATTTTTGAGGGGGAAATATTAAAATTGAAATTAGCTTAGAGTCAGAAAAGCAAAAGAAAACCAAAACAAAGCCATGTCGGATGTGTTGAACCACCAGCGAGGTCAGATGTACCATGTGCGTCTGGGCTGCAGCCACAGGACAGAACAAAAACCAGAGGAACTGAAGATGTTAAGGTTTGAATGGTCCACTGAAGCCCAGGAAGACAACTGGCTTCTGATTCATGTTAGGTTTTGGGGTTTTTTTTTGTCAAGATGACCAAAACCTGATCTTGCTGAATCCATACCAGGATACATAAGCTTACGGAAACCTTGATAATCCTTCATTAGAATTCTGTGTAGCTGAGCAGCAGCACAGAACTTCATACCCCACTAACCAGCAGTCTTCAGCTCCAGAAGAATGAAGGTTGATAGGTATTTGTGTACATGATCGTTTTCTAACTAGAAAGCAAATCTTCAGAGTTACAGATCAGCTTGGTCGGTGAAGGACGTGATCTCATACCTTAGAAACCATGGATACAAATCTTTTTTCTCCTGTTTGTAGCATTTGCTAGAACTGCAAGACACAAACTGGGATGAGGGACAGCCAGACCTGTCCCAGAACAGGGACTGCTGGGATTGCTGAATTCTTAACCTCAGATTTAATCATTTATTTAGCATGAGGATCCTGTGCTGTTCGTAGAAGCTTAGGGAGATACTTCAGTAACCCTGCAGCATGCAGTGACTGCAGCAGGTAGTAGAAGTACTGCTAGGAGAGTGCTCAGAGTTCCCCATGAACCTCCCAGAGCCTGGAGTGGGTAAACTGGATGCTTTGCCTGTCTGGATCAGGAAAGGTGAGGAAGAAGCTCCTATGAGAGCTGTTGGCTCAGTGTTGCACAGCTTTGTGGCTCACAGAGCCCAAGGAAGCTCCCCCACTTATCCAATGGAGAGAATATAGGGGGAAGTGGCTGTCATCTCAAGCTAAATCTTATCACACCCAATTCTTTCTTTTGCTGTCTGACAAATGGAGGTATAACAGGCAAAATAGCTATTTTTATTTCTTTTTTCCCTTGGCGTGAAAAAACCCTTATGCTAAGGATGTTAATGCAACTGTTAATGTTAGTGGATCTATCTCCTTGATGTCCTTCTAGGAGAAACACCAGCTGTGAAGTTATCAAACTAATGGTGCCCGAGCTGAGTGGAATTCCCCAGGCATCACAACTTCTAGGCCTTATTATTCTTGCCAGGAGATGTAATTGCTTTCTTCCCCAGTTGAGTCCTTAGAAAAATCATGAAAGCAAGCTGCACTGTAGTCTGTATTGAGTAGCTGAAGAGCAGTTTCCTTTGGCTGCACCGATAGGGCACGTGGATTGGTGAAGGACTTCTTTTCAGTGCATTGAACTGATTTGCTAAAGCTGCCTTAACAGACAAAGCAGAGGAAGAAGCTTCTCTGCAAGTGATGAGAGCGGCTGAGTGGTTTGTCCTCTGTGTTGCTATAAAATTGATTGATATAGTGTGTCCTTGCAAGGACTCCTGTGGAGGAGTTTAACACAGAAAACCCAGGTAGCCTTTCAAAAACAGGTATTGTGAGGTTATTTTGGATATCAAGCAAGGCTGCTGTTGAGATAGAAAGCTTGAGTAGTAACTTCTCTGTACTCTATAATCAATGGTTGTGTGACACGTGTCACTAATGGATTTCTCGACAAAAGTGAAACCAAAGCTCATTTCACATGTTTAAGAAATTGTCCGGATACAGAGGTCTGTGAGTTTATAGGAAGATGATTGCTTCTGGTTTAGCTGTTGAATAGATTTCAAATAGAGATGCTTCAGCCACTGCGTATTCCTCAGAATAGTCCCCTTTCAAAGAGGAAAATGGGAGGACTGATTGCAAGATTTGGAGTCTTGTAGCAAGAGCCTCTTCTCTAGACTTCTTACCATCATCTCAAGTGTTCTTTGGGTTCAAAGACCCAATTATTTTAAGTGCCTGTACCATCCTTATTGAGCTGTCCTGGGTTATACTGGAGAGCTGAAGCTCTTGAGGGTGCTGTTATGAGAAGGGGTTATTGAATTCAAACCCTCCATGAGGAATTTGAGTCCTGAAGGTGATGTGTTGGAGAGGATGACTCGTTTCAGTGCCTGCAGCATGTGTTACAGGGAGGAGGAGGTGTCTCCTTATGCGTTGACCTGTAGGAAATATTTTCCCCTAGAGAAATTAGCTGCGAGAGAGGATGAGTCTTTCTGGAGCCTGACGAAGTGCATTTACCAGTCCAAAACCATATCCAGCTTGCAGCGGCTTCATTGCTGAAGCAGCCTTGCGCCAAGCTGCGGGTGAGCTGGCTTGCTGGTCACAGCTTCATTCCTCGCTTGCAGACTCTGGTTTCTGAAAGCTTGTGCCTGGAGCAGCTCTGCGGAGGAAGATTTATTTGCAGTGGATGAGAACAAGAAGTGTCATTGTTATTCTGCACTGGGACAGGAAAAGGCTGGCTAGCTGATTACCTCTGCTGGGCGCTTTTTCTTACTGCAGGGGATAATTTGTTTCGGAATTAACTTCCTTTCTTGCCCTGTCTAAAGGGGGTTTCTGCTTCTCTTGGGTCTCGGCAGTTTCACCCTTTTTTTTATGGTTTGTTTGAGAAATGTGTTATTACTCTGATAACATCTTGGGTGTGGGGCAGACCTGTGGCATGTGTGACTTGGTGCATCAGTGGTTTTGGTGGAGCGATGCCAGTTCTCACCATCCGAGTGCCACCCTGGATACGCAGCCTGGAAAGAGGAGGAGAGCGAAGAAGGAATGGGCACTATA